GCGCCAGCCACATACACCTAAGGTGACGGGTTCGAATCCCCAGCCTGGACCCGCCAAACAACAATGACAGCTGCAACCAAAAAAAAAAAAAAAATGGCCGGGCGTTGTGGCGGGTGCCTGTAGTCCCAGCTACTTGGGAGGCTGAGGCAGGAGACTTGCTTGAGCCCAGGAGTTGGAGGTTGCTGTGAGCTGTGATCCCATAGTACTCTACCCAGGGGGATAGCTTGAGGCTCCGTCTAAAAAAAAAAAATAAAATTGTACCAGGTTAGATCAAATGAGACAAAGGACTTTACAGTGTTCCATAAACTGTAAAGCATAATAAATGAAAGGCAAGATTTTCTTTTCCATCAGAGCCTGCTTCAAGATATATTTTCTGTTCAGATTAAAAATTAACATTTAAGATCACTGATCCAGAAAAAAACAACAAAACAAAAAAGGAAGTTAGAACCATCAATGAAACAATTCAAAGATGTCATATTATATCATAATCGGCTACTGTGTGTACCTCTGTAGAGGAGACTCAACCTTCTTTGGGCCCAGGATAAATCCCGCAAAACCAGCTCTGTAACTCCAGCCTCCAGCATCAATCCTTCCCATGCCCACATTGACAATGGAAGCTTTCTTTCCATCTATAACTACTCAGCTATTTTGTATCAAGCTTCTGGCTTCTACCCTGTCCAGAATCCTAGGGTGTTCCCAATCTGATTGGGCCCCAGGGACAATACTCTCTGAGATTTCAAGACTAAATTCTTAGCATCCCCTGCAACACTACCTTCCAGTGTTATCTTTAGACCCTTGTTACCATAAGTGTGGGCTGCAGATTGGCAGTACCCAACCCTGGAATTTGTTAGAAATGCAAATTCTGGACACTCCCTCCACCCACCTCCTGAATTGGAATATGCATGTGAGCAGGATCCTCAGGTGATCTGTATGCATGTTAAAGTGTGAGAAGCTCTGGTCCAGAATAGTGGTTCTTAACTTAGGTGTGCCTCAGAGTGAGCTGGAGGTGACCGTGGTCTGAGGACTGCTGCTCCAGGGTCCAGAGCTAGGTGATCACACAGAGCTCAAACAAGTCCTTTCCTACTACTGGGGAATAGTGACGAGGAATTCCTACACTTTCCAACTGCCCAAGATGAGAACCCAGGAAAACTAAGACGCCACAGGGATTGGGGCCATTGACCTCGTCCCTTGGGTTATTTTAATATTACCTCCTGCTTAATTAAATAGAGCCATGGACGAGAGGTTCTAGGGCCTCTGTACTAAAGTCAGAATAAATTTATGGCAGAGGCTCTGTCTCGGAATGTGTTTTCCCCACCTTTAAAACAAACAGAACCTGAAGTGCTGCTGCAGAAAGCTGTGGCAGTGGGAGGTCCTATCCAAGAACAGGCTGAGAGAGGTTGGTGACCCAGCACTGCCCCTTTTGTAGAATGTTCTTTTCTTTTTGGAGACAGAGTCTCACTCTGTCCAGGCTAAAGAGCTATGGCCTCGTAGCTCACAGCAACCTGAAACTCCCACGCTCAAGTGATTCTCTTGCCTCAGCCTGCCTGAGTAGCTAGGACCACAGGTGCCTGCTAAAACACCCAGCTAATTTTTCCATTTTTAGTAGAGACAGGGTCTCGCTTTTGTTCAGGATGGTCTCCAACTCCTAAGCGTAAGCAATCCACCTGCCTCGGCCAGAGTGCTAGGATTATAGGCGTGAGGCACTATGCCTGGCTGTGGAATGTTCTTTATAAAGCCCCTTCCAATCTAAGGCGGGTATCTTTGAGTCCTTGTGAATAGTCAGAGTTCTTATGTCCCCTTCTGCCCTGCACAACATAACAGCCACACGCCTCGGTAGGGACTGGAAGTACAGCTCCCAGACCGCCAACATGCAGTCCACACCCTGTTGGCTCCTCCTGCCTTTGTGCTCCAGAGATACCTCTAAATGCACAGAAAAAAGATCCTATAAGCAAAATTACTCCCAGATAGAAACATTTACTAAAGAAGGACATACAAGCCATTTTAAAAGTAGAAAGTAGTTGTGACTGGGATGAGGTCTGTCCTCTACTTCAAAGGCCCATTGGATGGAGGAGGCAAACTGTTCTCACCCCCCCCCAAAAAATTATATATATGTACACACATGCACATATATATATAAATATATATATATAAAAAGTTTATGTCATAGATAAACTACCTGTAGAAATAATAACTGTCGTCGTGGAATGCTTATTATATGCCAGGGTCTGTGCTAAATGTTTACAAGTATTAGTTCAGTTCTAGCTATGAGATTATATCGCTATTATCCTCATTTGGCAGATGTGGAAACTGAGAAACAGAATTATTGCATATTTTTCCTGAGTTTACAAAGGCAGTTTGGTGTCTAAACCTGTACTCTGAACTACGGGCCACATGTGGCAAGTTATAGACAACAGCCAAATGTGGTGAGGGGTTAATCATTATTGTGCACAACAGGGATGTTAAAATACATCCTTTTAAGCACGAGAACACTCTCTATCTCTATTTGCATGAGGGTGGGGGACAAAAATCTTATCAAGGACTCTATTTTATAAAACAGATCAAGTCACAGCTCTTCTGGCTGAAGACAAGCAGAGGCTCTGGAGCCTTGCCTATGCCCACAGCCCCTGCACCACACCCGACAGAGGCCCCAAGGCTCTGGCCCCCAAATTTCTAATCCCGAGTCTATTCTCTGACTTCTTCGAACCTGAGTTAACAGGGAAGAGTCTCCCTGACTCAGTCATGGAGAACGGGGCAAACCACACCCGTGTGCTAGGGGAGAGTGGCTCTGGGCATGCACAGCCTTTGAGAGAGGGCAGAATACTTTAAGTATGATGAACTTTATTGAGCCCCTAAAATTAGAGATGAAGGAAGCGAGGTAAAGGGGGCTTTAAAAGTGTCATGATTCAGGTAGAATGTTGAGTCTGAATCCGAAGATCCAGTCCAGCTTGGAATCGTGTGTAGGTGTGAGCATGTGCAGTAAGCATTCATGAATTGGCATTGGCCTCATCTTCGGCATAATGCACTGGGCATCTGGTGTGAGGACGTGAGCACCAATGCTAACCCAACCTTTGGTTCATGGAGGCCTTACACCACCTCTGCCTCCAGGATCCCCTCACTGATGACTTCAGACTCCAGCTTCCCAAACCACTACTGACAGCACTTTCACAGGGCAACCGCAGGTGGATCTGTCTAGGGATGAACGTGGCAAGTGACTTGCAGCTTTCTACCTATCATCCAAAAGGTCTGCATCTGTCATTCTGGGCCAGTGAGTTGGCAGGGCTGCTCAAGGTTAACCCCCAGGAGAGAACAGCACAGCCAGACCTTTCCAGCATGGCACTGAGCCTCCGGAGTGGCAGGAATTCAAGAGGCAATGTTAGTCTCTTTTGGTGGTGCATCAAATCAATGACTGATGGGATGCATGGTGAGTGGGGTGGGGTGGTTTTCACTTTAAATTAAAAAAAACTTCTTTAAGGCTCAGTGCCCTATAGTTCAGTGGCTATGGCGCCAGCCACATACACCCAGCCCCAGCCTGCCAAACAACCATGACAACTACAACAACAACAAAAATAGCTGGGCATTGTGGTGGGCGCCTGTAGTCCCAGTTACTTGGGAGGCTGAGACAAGAGAATCGCTTAAGCTTGAGAGTTAGAGGTTGCTGTGAGCTGTGACGCCACGGCACTCTACCAAGGGTGACATAGTGTTTTGTGTGTGTGTGTATCTCAAAAAACAAAAAACACAAAACCTCTTTAATTTTTTTTTTTTTTTTGGTGGCAGAATCTCACTCTGTTGCCCCCGGCTAGAGTGCCATGGCCTACACTCTAGCACACAGCAATCTCAAACTCCTGGGTTCAAGTGATCCTCCTGCCTCAGCTTCCCGAGTAACTGAAATAGAGGCACCCCGCACAACACCTGGCTAATGCTTCCATTTTTGTAGAGATGAGCTCTTGCTCTTGCTCAGGCTGGTCTCGCATTCCTGAGTTCAAGCAGTCTGCCTGCCTTCCAGAGTGCTTGAATTACCTATAAATTACCTTTAACATTCTGGCAAAATCTTCCAGTCTTTTTTCCTTCACAGTGATTTTTCACATTGAATTCACAATGAATATTTGATCTTGTGTCTTTTTTTAACCTACTTGAATTGTAAGCATTTTTCCATGTATTAATTTCCTTTCGTAAGCAACAAATAATCATGAGTAAGTGAAGCAAATGTCTCTGTGCCTTGATGTCTTCAGATGTTGACTAAGGCAGTGATTCTCCAATTTGAGTGTGCATCAGAGCCACCCAGAGGGCTTGTGAAGACACGGATTCTTGGGCCTCTCCCCCAGGATTTTTGAATCAGTAGACCTGGAGTGAGACCTGACAATTTGCATTTCTGACAAGTTCCCAGGAAATGTTTAAGCTGCTGCTCAGGAGACCACACCTGGAGAACCAATGAAATGAGAAGACTGAGTTGTGGTTTTCCAAGGTCACTGCTGGTTTCAAAATCTAAGTTTTTGCATATTTTTCAATTCTTTTTTTTTTAAGACAAAGCCTCAAGCTATCCCCCTGGGTAGAGTGCTGTGACATCACAGCTCACAGTAACCTCCAACTTCTGGAGTCAAGCGAATTTCCTGCTTCAGCCTCCCAAGCAGCTGGGACCATAGGCACCAGCCACAAGGCCTGCCTCTTTTTTGGTCGCAGCTGTCATTGTTGTTTGGCAGGCCCAGGCTGGATTCGAACCCGCCACCTTAGCTGGCACCTTAGCCACTTGAGCCACAAGTGCTGAGCCTCAAATTCTTTTTTAAAACAACTCTTAAAACATATGAGTTTTTTACAAAACCCAATGATTTTTTAAATGCAAAAAGAACATCACCTGCCATTTAGAAGTAATCGTTTCTACTTAAAACTCATATGGGTTCCATGCTTATTTCTCTTTGAAGTTACCTGGATTTTTAAAGGATATTTTTAAAGGACAGTGAGATTTACATCTAGTACTTTATTGTTTTTTCTTTTCCTTTACGTAGTTCCATATGTATTGAAGAGCTGTGCAGAGTTTATAGAGACTCACGGCATTGTGGATGGAATCTATCGGCTTTCGGGAGTCACCTCAAACATACAACGGCTGAGGTAAGCAAAAAGAACAGCCCTAAGAGAATTCTTCCACAATCCTTCCTCTCCCCACGCTTCTGTCCACAGATGTCAGGAGTATTAAAAACCCAAAGGGACTACGTGACGGGTGGCAAGGCCAGAGATCAAATGTGGCTGTTCTCAGATGCCTGACAGCCCCTTAATCTAATCAGGAAACTCTTCAGCCTGATATAATTCTTTTCAACAAAAGCTCCTAGGGCTTTTAATCTGTTTCTTTGTCTTGAGCCAGATTTATCCTTCTTTGATTTAAGTTACAAGTTAGGAAAACGTGACTTATTATCCTTCACTTGCCTACCCAAAGCTCAGTGAGGTTAGGTTCCTCTGTTGTTTATAACTCTGAGATCCCTATGAGTTTTTCTGTTGGCACACACTCAACATTTGATATTTTATTTGAAATAGGAATCAGAGGCCTCTCTAACTGATGCTGGTATTTTAAAAATTTCTGATGGATAAACTATAAACTATTTCCAGTTCTTTGGCTTTATCCTAAACATTGGGATGTGAATTTCTATCACATTAAATTAAGAAGGTAAAATCCTTTATACAAAACAACATATATTTGTATTTTATATATGTACATATATATACACACATACATAAAAATAGAGTACATACAGTATATTTAGAGTACACATACTATGCATGGACTATGTACAGTATATAAAGAGTATAAATACTGCCTATAAAGTACTTTCAGATTAAAACAATATGTATTTTGTACATTATTCTTTACCATTGAAAAGAACATAATTTAGGGCGGCACCTGTGGCTCAAAGGAGTAGGGCTAGAGGTGGTGGGTTCAAACCCAGCCCCGGCCAAAAAGAACATAATTTAATGTTATTTAATATGTTTACTAAATGTTCTTTCATTGTAAGTGTAGACTTTTAAAAGAAAAACATCCTTATTACAAGATTAATATGTGAAATTTTGTAGGTTGTGCAGGTAATTCAGTTTCAGTATTCTTCCTCCTATTTGGTTTCTGCCCCTGCCCGTCAAAATCTCAATTGCAATTAAGTTATACACAAGGAATAAAACATCCCTTTTTTTTTCCTAGAGAAGTGATAGCTGTTTAAAAAAAGAAGTGGTTTATTGCAGCCACAGAGTCTGATGAATCAATCTAATGGTTTACTGTTAGCTCCAAAGTATACTAGTAGTTGGTATTTTGGAAGGACACTGGGGTGGGGCCAGCACTTTCTCATTTAAGGACTGACCTTAACCTTGAAAAGGGAAATTTTTGGCTAAGTAAATGAATAAGCTCTAGGTTGTTTTTGTTCTGTCCTCTTAAAAGCATGCACGCCTATGAATTTATGAGGCCACCTCTTTTCAAGGCTCTGCTCAGTTCCTTTCAGGTTCTGATAGCATCAGGGATTTCCCTGCCCTGCGTTAAAGGGACAGACCCAAAGCACAGGGGAATGGGCAGTGAGCTGTTTAGAAAATGCTGGTTCTGAGAGTCCTGTTGGTTTTCTTCCCATGTAGCTGGCGAAGGGAATACTCTCAAGACACCTAACGTCCCTTCTCTATTAAAGCTCACATTTGGGCTCGGCGCCTATAGCTCAACCGGCTAAGGCGCCAGCCACGTACACCTAAGGTGGCGGGTTCGAATCCCCAGCCCGGACCCGCCAAACAACAATGACGGCTGCAACCAAAAAATAGCCAGGCATTGTGGCAGGTGCCTGTGGTCCCAGCTACTTGGGAGGCGGAGGCAGGAGACTCGCTTGAGCCCAGGAGTTGGAGGTTGCTGTGAGCTGTAATGCCATGGCACTCTACCCAGGGGGACAGCTTGAGGCTCTGTCTCAAAAAAAAAATAAATAAATAAAAAAAGCTCACATTTGTCATTTTTGAAAAGGCACATATGTATTATTTGAGGCACTGTATTCATTTAACTTTTTTGGGAAGTGTTTTCTAATTAGAAACCAGGCCTGGAATTGGACCTTGTGCTCAGACATCCCCTTATAGGTTATTTAAGAAGCAATGATTAAGCTCGTCTGTCCCATAGGAGACACCAACAGGCAGCCTAGAAGTTTCCATGGAGCATCAAAGTAATAGTTGATTATATAAAGTTCTGAAACTTTGAGTTTGAGTCTCCAGATAAAACAAGTTTGTTGACATGAATACATGGAGATGAGTGATAACACTCTGACCTATAATGGTTTTTGGTCTCTCCTGTAAAAAAAAGGGAGGTTCACTTTGAACAATATTTTGGAAAAACTGAGATTTCAATAGGCCTTTCTGGCAAATAGTTTTCATCTTTCCTCAGTGTTCCTAACCAAGACTGCAGGCGTAAGTAATTTCATGGAAAATCCATTTGTACATGAGCACGTACGTGTCTTTCTAATCACAGCAGATTTTGCAAGGAAGATCCAGACCCAGAGTGGAAGTCTTCCCGTGGCTTCCTTCTGCCTGGAGTAGAAGGTCTTTTGAATCAAAGTAAAAAATACAGTCAGATCAGCAGTTTAGGGTCTTTTTACCCCTAAGCAGCCAAGCAGCTGCTGACACGGAACACATGTTCCTGGGATTGTTATGTCTCCGTCTGTGTTGTTTCAGGCAAGAGTTTGGCTCAGATCAATGTCCAGATCTGACAAGGGAAGTGTACCTCCAGGACATCCACTGTGTGGGCTCACTCTGCAAGCTCTACTTTAGGGAGCTGCCCAACCCCCTCCTGACTTATGAGCTCTATGAGAAATTCACAGTGAGTATTTGGATTTCCACTAATGGGGACTGGGTGGGACTCATGGATGGGCCAAGGAGAATTTCAGCAGAATAACACTCAGCAGATGGTTGACATTATCTTAGCATGGTGATGGAAGTAGGATGATAGAATGAGGAAAGTAGGGTAGTGGAACTGTTTGCTCAATTTTTCTTACTTGAATTTTCGGAATCATGTTGTTTGTTTTCAGAGCTGGGTTAAATTATCTCTATGTTTATTCAACTGACTGTGCCTTATTGTATAGGGAGGAAACTGAGAACCAGAGAAGTAAAGTGGCTGGCCCAAGGTCACACCAAAGAGGCAGGACAGGAATCTGAAGGTCCTGATGCTACACCCACTGCTATTTCTTTTTTAAATCAGGCTAGTCCTTCTGTGCTTCTTTGGGGAGCCTGGGGAAAGAAATGGGTGGGTGGTGGGAGAGGAAACAAGCAAAAGTTAGAAGAGAGGTAAGAAAGCTGGGAGGAGAAAAGAATCTGAGAAGAGTAGCCGACAGGGAGTGCAGGAGAGTGCCAGTGAGTTAGAGGGGTGGGAAGGAAAGACGGCCAAGAGCAGAACAACTAAATGCCAGTTGTACGGTCACCAAATGGGGCACCCATAGACAAGGAGGAAGAGCGCTTACAGGATGTCTGCAAATAGGACTTGAACATTTGGCTGCATGGGTGCAAGTGTAGAGTAGTTGGAGAGTTGGGTTTAACCAAGGGTGGAGTTCAGCCAGCCAAAGAGGGATGAAGGGGGTGAGAGTACAGGGGGTGGGAGCCAGAAAGGGTGAGGAATTGAAATACTTGGCCGTAGAATTTAGTGTGGATAAGAAAGGAAATGAAGCACAAGGCAGATGAATAAACAGTGAAAAAGTAGATCAAGGCTTGGTACCTGTAGCTCAGTGGCTAGGCTAGGGTGCCAGCCACATAGCCCAGAGCTGGCAGATTTGAACCCAGTCAGAGCTTGCCAAACAACAAGGACAACTACAACCAAAAAAAAAAAAAGAAAAATAGCCAGGTGTTGTCGTGAGCGCCTATAGTCCCAGCTACGTGGAAGGCTGAGGCAAAAGTATCACTTGAGCCCAAGAGTTTGAGGTTGCTGTGAGCTGTGATGCCATAGCACTCTACCGAGGGTGAAATAGTGAGACTCTGTCTCAAAAAAGAAAAGAAAGAAAAGAAGAAGAAAAAGTAGATCAAGAGAGTATTCATCCCAGTGAGGTCAGGGGGGTGCTGGAGTACAGTCATCAGACAGGGATGTTTCAATTGAAATTACGCAGGGGTTGCAATTCTTGGGAAGGACCAGATGCCGGCTCTAATGGTGGGAGGAAGCCTTTCTCATGTGTCCTGCAATAAACTTATTTCCAGCATATAAAAAGTTCTTCAATTTGAAATGATACAGGAATGAATGAAACATGTTCTTAAAAATTGGGCTCAGGCCAATAAAAATATATTTAAGACTTTTCAGTGATACCAGGAAATATTAATATGATAATTGGAAAAAAATTCAGATATACATACAATTGTCTACTAATGAAGGAGTGAAAAGAAGGATGTTCAAAAGACTTAACAGGCATTCATTTCAGTAACTGGATTATGGATGGCATTTTTTTGTGGTATATTAACTGTATCTGCAGTAAGAGATCTTAGCACAGCTATTCTCAACCTATGGGTTGTGACCCCTTTGGGGGTTGAACGACCCTTTCACAGAGGTGGCCTAAACATATCCTGCATATCAGATATTTACATTATGATTCATAACAGTAGCAAAATTACAGTTATAAAGTAACAATGAAAATAATTTTATGGTTGGGGGTCACCAAACATGAGGAACTGTATTAAAGGGAACTATTTCAATGCTTTATTATTAAGGCATTAAGAAGGTTCACACACACACACACTCACACACACACTTCTACCTCTCAATACCAAAATACCATATATTGCTGTTTTGGAATGTTTTTAATTCAGCAGAGTGATAGGAGATTAATGTTCTCTGATCTCCATGTTAACAAATATAGAGAGGCATTGTATGGGTTATTCTCTCGCATGTGCCAGGATTTCTGAAACCAGGCTCCTACTAATGGACATTTGGGATTTGGGTTTTTTTTTTTTTTTTTGAGACAGAGCCTCAAGCTGTCCCCCTGGGTAGAGTGCCGTGGCATTACAGCTCACAGCAACCTCCAACTCCTGGGCTCAAGCGAGTCTCCTGCCTCCGCCTCCCAAGTAGCTGGGACCACAGGCGCCCGCCACAACGCCCGGCTATTTTTCGGTTGCAGCCGTCATTGTTGTTTTGGCGGGTCCGGGCTGGGGATTCGAACCCACCACCTTAGGTGTACGTGGCTGGCGCCTTAGCCGGTTGAGCCACAGGCGCCGAGCCATTTAGGATTTTTGTTTCTCAACACTCTGCTTGAATAAACAACATAATAATCACATTTTTATACTTACAAATAAGTACTTTATACTTTTTTCTGTTTATACTTTCTTTATACTGTTATCTGTTTATAACCTTAAGGGAAAATCACCCGAGCAGATTTTCTGAGTAGAGTTCTTGTTTAAAATTTTCTCACACACAATCTAACATATGCCCACTTAAGAGAAAAACTCAATTCAATTCAAGATGAGGGGAAAGGGAAAGAGGGAGCAGAGGCGGGAGGGAGGGGCGAGGAGAGGAAGGAGGGGATGGCTGTGCTCCCGTTTAATGGGCACAATGTAAGGGCACAGGTCGCACCTGCTGGGTGTGGGACTCTCCCTAACAAATGAAAACATTGTAAGTAATTATACCCTCACAATAACCTGTTAAAAATAAAATAAATAAATAAAATTTTGTCACACAGTGCCAACATATCTTCCCCAGAGACAGGAATGCTCTTTTCCCCACAGACTGGCCCACACCAGGTATTTTCAACTTTTAAGCTATTTGCCTATCTGAGTCAATCAGAAATAACATCTCACTGTCACTTCAGTTTGTGTGTAAGATTTTGTTTTCTACATCATTGTAATCCTCTTATCAGGACAATAGTTTCATATTTGAATGACAGAACGGAGTATCATTATACTAATAAACTGAATGAGTCTAATTTCTTTTAACAAATACCCCATTCTATTATAGTTGGGGGTAAATAGGGATTCTTATCTACAAACTTCAGAAATACCATTTCTTCTTAGATATCATCTATAGACTCAGAATAAAACCCACATTTATCTTTCCACTCTTCCCAGATATTGCTAATCATTCTGTTCTCTCACAGCAACTGAAAAATATCAGTGTAATATTTTGTCAACTTGTCATCAAATCTGAAAGAAATCTGACATTGTATTTAGGCAATTTATGGACACTAAAAAGTAAAATAGGAATGTTTTGTTATGACAGCTAACCTCTACATAGATAGGACCTAATGAAGTTAACTGTGTGGAAAAATTTATCCTCTAAATTAGATTTAATCACAGTAATGAGAATATTATGATATAAGCAAACTTCCCTCCACTAAAGTAGAATAATATCTCAATGTAATAATAAGAGAATTAAAAAACTGTTAGTGGAATAAAAATACTGATAATAGCTCTCATTTATTGAGTGTTTACTATATGATAAACTCATTATAAGTATTATCTCCTTTAATACTCAGAATAACAATAGCCTTTGTTAGTATAGTTAGTAAGTGAAGGTAAAGATTTGAAATGTCTTATAGCTCCCACACTACTCAAAAATAGAGTTAACAGCACTCAAGTAGACCCAGGCATTAAATAACTTCATATGAAATAATGAAGGAACAATTCCATGAATGGTGTAAGGAAAATTGGCTAACTGTTGGAGAAAGGAAAAATCACATTGTATCTTTACAATTTAACAGATTTCAGGGTGGAGAAAGGTTACCTAACAATCAAAGCAAAGGGAAAAAAATCACAAAACACAAATTCAACAAACTGAAGTGAATACAGTAGAACCTCCATCGCTGACCACCTCCCTACATCCATCCCCTCCTTAAGTTGACCTAATTTTCATGGACTAGACATACACCACATGGACGAAGGCCTAGTTCCTTACATTGACCATCTCCATGTTGACCACTTTGTTATAGTCCCTTGGGTGGTCAACGTTGGTGTTAATGTATAAAAAATACACTAACAAAATTAAGAGGCAAATTACCAATCATAAAATACTATTTACAATAAAGAAGATAGGAGATTAATGTTCTTTAATTATATAGAATTTCTACCTAGCAATAAAAAGAAAAAACTACATAATATCTCACTAAACAAACAAGCAAAGAACTTCAACAGACAATTCATAGAAAAACAAATCAGGCTCGGTGCCTATAGCTCAACAGGCTGAGGCGCCAGCCACGTACACCTAGGGTGGCGGGTTCGAATCCCCAGCCCGGACCCGCCAAACAACAATGACGGCTGCAACCAAAAAATAGCCGGGCGTTGTGGCGGGCGCCTGTGGTCCCAGCTACTTGGGAGGCGGAGGCGGGAGACTCGCTTGGGCCCAGGAGTTGGAGGTTGCTGTGAGCTGTAATGCCACGGCACTCTACCCAGGGGGACAGCTTGAGGCTCTGTCTCAAAAAAAAAAAAAAAAAAGAAAAGAAAAACAAATCAATTTATTCTAAAATTGATACCAATATGTTAGAATAGCATATTTGCATAGTAAAGAAATCATTTTTTAATGTTACCATTTCATACTGACAAGCTTGTACTAAGACTGGCTCTTTTATAGTTTTATGCTGGAAGTGTAAATTGGTTAGACATCCCAGAAAGTCGCTGGAAACTATTATCCTAAAATGTTCATACTCTTTAATCCACTAATTGTATTGCTAGGACTCCATTGTAGGGTAATAGGCAGATAAGCACACAAAAAATTGATCTATGAGTATGTTCATGGTAATGTTACATATAATATCAACATTTTGTAGAGTACCTCTCTAACAATAGATGATTTAAATAAATGATAAATCTATTATTTTAAAAACTGTGTTGTCATGAAAAGTCACACTTTTGAAGAAC